AATATGCAAACACACTTTAAGAAGGTACACAAAGGCAGGGTTTGCTGAGGTATTGACTTGCTTTTTTTGTGTTTACTACAGGTCAAGCTTGACAACACAAAGGCAGACTTGCAAGAGAAGATTAAGAAGAGAAAAGCATGGGTGGATGAGATTAATACATCTCTAAAGAGCTGCAAGGTAAGCTGCAAGAGAGACAAATGTTAGCTTCCTTGGGTTAACTTGGATTGAAAACCAATCAGACCAGTCTTCAAAACTGGCTGAGCAAGTTCCCAAACAGTATGATATTTAAGCGGACACATAATGTGTTATTTAAAGTTTCCCTTGCAAATTAAAATGCTGGTACTTGGGCCAGTTGCTATAAATATTGACCTTTATCTACAGCTTACCCATCTAGGCTATTGGTTCAGCTCTAAAACACCCAACCTGTGCCAGAATTGCTCTCTCCAGATTTTAACCCTAACCCTGAATCATTTCAGGACCAAATGGAAAAAGAGTGGTGGGATATTGACGGTGTGTTCAGCGCTGTGATTGCCATTGTGGAGGAAGCCCAAGCTGCGGCTCGTAAGCCACTAAATGACAGAAGGGAGGTTGTGGAGAAAGATGCAAAATACATCAAAGATGAGTTAGAAAAAGAGATTAGAGAACTTGAGAAAACGGTCTCTGAGCTGGACGATATATCTGCACTTGAAGATCACATCCTTTTCCTTCAGGTGAGAGGAATGGACCTTGTTTGAGTAATACAGTGGGGTCATTTGTTTACATGTCTTATGAAGAGCAACAACTACAGTCCAGCTACTGTGGCTTGTATGATTTGATCTTATTCTCTGTATGTCTGTTGGTAAATCCCAAGACTATTCCTCTTTCTTCGTCTCAGAGTTACCCATCTCTTCAAGAGTTGGACTTCAAAGACTCAACGAAGGTAGAGTTTGACACATCAGTGTCTTTTGGCACCATGAGAAAGACCACAACAGCCATGTTGGAACAAGTTCAACAGCAACTGGACAAGCTGACCTCCATTGGTAAAAGTCAAAATCATGATAATGAATGTTAAGATCTAAAATTTTGACAAAATTGATCTAAAACGATTTCTTTACTTCACAGAACTTGAGAGAGTTCCAAAGTTTACAGGTAAGGGATTTGATCAGCTTCTTCCTGACGATACCTTTACAATAATACACTTTTGTGATCAGATCTTTTAATGAACTCCAATTTGTTGTTAACAGTCGATGTAAAGCTGGATCCAGCCACCGCGCACCGACGCCTTGTTCTTTCTGATGATGGGAAGGAAGTGAAAGATGATGGGCAGGAACAGGAAGTAGATGATGCTCCAGAGAGGTTTGATATTTTCGGCAGCATCCTGGGGCTCAACAGGTTGACCTCTGGGAAGTCTTTCTGGGAGGTCGAGGTCACCAACAAGTCGGGGTGGGACCTCGGTGTGGCAAGGGGCGATGCAAACCGCAAGGGAGAACTCCTGCTGAACCCAGAAAACGGCTACTGGGTCACGGTACATTACGAGGACGATAAGTACGCTGCCCTGACAGCGCCGCCAGTTCGTCTTTCACTGCAAGAGAAACCTAAGAAAGTTGGGGTGTTCGTTGACTACGAGGAAGGACTTGTGTCCTTCTACGATATCAAGGCCCAATCTCACATCCACTCATTTACTGAGTGTTCGTTCGGTGACGAGCTCTTCCCATATTTCAGTCCTCATGTAAAACACGAGGAGAACAACTCTGGTCCTTTGATCATTTCTGCTGTGAAACATTGCGAGAAGGATGTCAATGAAGTGAAGAAAGTGCAAGACTAGCAGTTAAAATGTTGTCTTTTTCTGGGAGTTTGGTAAATCCTTCCCCATCGAAGCGTGATGAATTTGCAATAATTAATCAATAGCAGAGTTGTGAGGAATCTGTAGGATTCAAATTTATAAAATGTTTTGTGAAATTGTAGGTGGAACTATAAATGATGAGTCGGCAACACGGTGTGCTGAAAACAAGCCTTTGGGAATAATATTAGGGGATGCTAGTTCAGCTACATTTCCCATTAGCATTAGGGTAGCGTAGTAGGTGGCGGTGTCATTGAAAATACCACAAAATACTGAGTGTCTTTATGTATTATATTCATGTTTTTCATACTTTATCATATACAACCTTCAACAAAGCTGTAGCTTAATACCAGTAGCTTGGCTTTATGAGCTACTGAATGGGGACATTTTCATATACAGCCATGATACAGGCTAAATGCATTCAAAGGTTTAACACTGTTTTATGAACAAATTGGTATAAATGATAGTATAAGATTTATTCAACTTAATTACAAACAATGATATTTTTTTTTGTATTTACTTTCTTTGATTGGGTGGAGAGGGGATTATTTTACTGGGCAGGAAATATCAAGTCTGTGTCTTCATACAATGTACCCTCAATATTTACAACATATACTGTAATAACATATTTTTGAATTATTACATAAATAAAAAATCAACTATTGATAACAAATCAAGTTTCTCTTTTCTTTTTGTGTGAGATTTCCTGTTTCACAAAAAAGGAAACAATGTTGTAAGACAGGAAATCTCCTGATTCATTTTTTGAATTAGCCTTTCCATTTTTGTACTTTAAGTCACATTTGCAATGCAAGTACTGTACTTAAAGATGGGGTATGTAATTAACTTCAGAAACACTTTTTGTTATATTACATGGAATGCTCTTAACATCCCGATAGCAATGCATATATTAAATGCTTTGACAATAAATACATTAAAAAATGTCATCTGTGGAAGCCGTGGCGCTGTAAAAAGCACGACCAATCATCTGAGCCGGCCCGGCTAAAATAACTGGATGGCCTACCTGCCTGTCAGCCTTCCATCTGTGCACAAACTTATATCGTGCCCTCATTGGTCATGTGCGCGTTGGTGTGTGTTGGAGGAGGGGCTCTGTAAGGAAGTCTGAAGGCAGATTTGTTCCGGTTGTGTATTTTCTAATTCTAGCGCACTCGAGCTGGTTTCTCCATTCTTACATTCCCTACCTTTAAAACATGTAGTTGCTTTTACACAACTTGATTATTTACATGTTATGCTATTTTCAATCCACTACACTTATAGGCCAGTTTTAACTTTTTACTCCACTACATTTATTTTACATATTTAGTTACTATTACCATTGCAGATTGAGGTTATTAATACAACATGTAAAACGGGCCGGCACACATTGGAATATCTTATAATAGGTTAAGCTACCCAGTAATGTGACAAGTAATTCATATACACCTTTACCAATTGCTACACTGAAGTGATGAACAGAGCCGGCCCGATCCATTAAGCGACATAAGCGGCCGCTTAGGGCCCCGCAGCCACTAAGGGACCCCCTTAGTGGCTATTTAAAAAAAAAAAAATCTCAGTACACCGTCGCCGTGATAAGTATGTTTAATTAATTGTGTTAATATGCCTAGATTGCCTAGTCTCAAAGTCATGTATTATATTATTGAGTCAATAATATAATACATTAACCGTGCTTTACCTGAACCTCATCATGACACAAGAGAGGACGGTAGGATTGTAATTTCCCGTGTTCAGTGAATGCAACAGAGGCAAGACACCAGACCAACCAGAGAGTTGAATGGAACATTCTGTCTTATTGGCTGACAGGTACCTATCCTGTGAGCTGTGACAATGTTTAAAATAAACAGTCAGTCGGACTCAGAGTTTTTGAAGATGGACATAACAAAAACATTACTTAAAAAAGACGACAATTCTCAAGTGGTGGCTCACACAACAACCCCAGAGCCACCACTTGAGCCAGGTAAACAAGGTATGCAAATGTCAGTAACATTCCAAGTTATGCGAACATGTAAGCAAAGCATAAATTACAGCTACGTTGACATTACTTTGAATCGCGGGGGTAAGCTAAACCGTTAGCAAGTTAGCATGTGGCTGTTTGGCCACTGCCGTTGCCATAACAACACCTGAATTTAAATGTGCAACCTCTTTTTGTGACAGATTTTTGCAAGAAATTATAATTCCTCTGAATGGTATTCCTATTGACATCCTAGTTTCTATGTGAACATTATGAGAAGGACAGCCAGAGAGAATAAATGAAAAATAGTTATGAAATACTATATGACAAAACAAGAATATAGTTTATGTGATTTGTAAAATATCCATAAAGAAAAATCTGCTTACAGTTCAATTAAAAGTTCTGTTTCATATGGGTGTTGAGAGATGTATCCATAGATATCTTAATTTTGCTCTCAAAGTGCACCAGATTGATGCTTTTAACTTCAATATTTAAAAAAAAAAAAATCCTGGGGGGGCATGCCCCCGGACCCCCCTAGAGGAGGTGAGGACCCCCCCTAGAGGAGGTTAGGTCCACGGTGTTTACATGCTTATTTATACAATATGTGTGCTTATGCTAACATCATAAGACAAAAGTTGGTTCCGTGTTGTGTGTAGTGAGAACGCGCTAGAGTGAGGGGGGCCCCAAGCCAAAGCTCGCTTAGGGCCCTCAAAAGTCTAGGGCCGGCCCCGGTGATGAACACATTAATGTATCAATAATTTTAATAAAAGGATTTTTAAATATCTGGTGCTTTATAATGGCCATTTTGCATAACCAGTCATTTTACTTTTGGAACTTAAACTAGTTTTCAGTGCTAATAGTTATTTACTTGAGTATCATTTTGAATGGAGGACTTTAACTTTGACTTATGTCAATAATCTAAGTTCTTCTTCCACCTCTGGGCACTAATGAACATTATACATGTTTAAATATCTTCAGAAAAACATCAGATATATTAATTGTGTGTTAACTCCTTGCTACGGCAAAAGGCCACTTATTTTATTAGAAGCACAGGAAATGAAAAAGAGATTCGTTTCCTCTTCTTTCTTTTTTTGAAGGTGTTGTTACACAGGATATCGTGTGCAGGTGGGGGGATTTTAGGCAACAGGTAATTGTTTTTTGTCAGAAACGAAACTGAAACAGTTCATAATGAACAAATAGGACGAGAGACCGAGAGACAGATCACTCAGAGGATCGCGAGGAGAGAGAGACAAGGTAAGATGCAGTTTGACAGCCAATCTGAAGTAAAAGTACTCATAATGCAGATTTCCTTTCAGAATAATATATATGATATGTTTTGATTATAATTATTGATGCATTTAAGTGTTATCAAAGCTGGTAAAGGTGCAGCTAGTTTTAATGACTTGTATGCTGCAGGGTAGCTTATGAAATTACTCCAGGTGGAACTAAAGTCTGATTTAAGAGTTGATTATATTTCACATCATTAATCCAAATCTGTGAAGTAGCTAAAGGTATTAAAACAATTTAGTGGAAACAAAAATGGTAGAGGAGTAGAAGTACAATTAAAAAACTTAAGTACATCCTCAAAATCTTACTTAAGTGAATTCTTAGTTACTTCCACCACTGATCTTTTTTAATGTAAACATATTGATCTTTGCAGTGTGAACCATAGCATCTACAGCTGTTTAGGTTGTATTACGCTCTATGAATACCGTGCAGACAAACTGATAATGGACTTTGAATGAGACAGGGCAGCAATGCAAATATGCTGTGGACAAGTTTCAGGGCGTGTGCAAACACTGCAATAAACACAGTGGGGTGTGTGTGTAAAATATAAATGTTTAATGGACTGTTCTTAAGATGCCAAAGAGATGTAAATGTTTTTATTTTATTTCCAAGTTTGTTCAAAGTTATCTTACACAGATAGTAGCATGTTTTAAGATAACAAAAGTTACAATGTATATAATAAATAATTATTCAATAGATAAATGATGATTAATAACAAATGTCTTTCTCATTATATAACCTGTCTTTGATATGTCTTCCATCTTGAAGTGTTGCATTATTTATTCATATTTGTATTTATTTACTTACTCACTAATTGATCTATCCCTATTTTAAATTGTGTACTGCTTTAACATAATGCTCGGTTACATTTATTATACATACTAGTAGATAATTATCCCTTATAGGCTATTTTAGTTTACTTTTACATGGTTTTTTTCTATTTAATTAGCAGGAGGAAGTAGGCAATTCAACACGAAGTACTGCAGAGTACCATTAGAGGGCGACTGATACCTGTTTTACCTCAGTCATACACATCCAGCTTGCAAACAGCAGTCTTTAATCACATCAATAATTACTTTTGGGGACTCATCAGGTGACCATTAAGATCTTACAATTGGGTTTTTATTTATTCTAAAAATGTCGACATAAAAATTAAGCATTGACACAAAACAAAAAGTTGAAATCTGTACTTAATTCAAAGTCAAAGTCAACTTTATTGTCAATCTCAAAATATGTTTGTACACACAGAAAGAACTAAATACTGTTTCCCACAGTCCCGAGGTATACAATGAAATAAAGGATATACAATATAAAATATGTATACATAATTATACCCCAACTTATTTACATAAATAGCATCGTAAAAAGTGACTGGTGCTGGTTGTGGGGGGGGGGTGTTAAATTCCCGGTCCAGTGGAGGCCGGGTGGAGTGGTGAGATAGAGGGGAGAGAGGGGAGAGGTGGGAGGGGGAGGCTTTCAATAAATGTTATTTTCCAAGACATTTAAAGACATATTAGAAAATGAATACAATCATGCACCTCTGAGCCTCCTGTACACAGAACATATTGGGTGGCATGTGTTGCTTCTATGTGGAGCACGTCCTCTCCTAATGTCTGTGTGTGACCTCTACAGATGCCCAACACAGCAGGCAAGAGCATGCAGGTTTGCTACTGTGGATGGGCCAAGGTCACCACCTACCAGGGTCTGAGGACTCACCAGGGGAAGATGGGATGCACACCGAGGGGAATGAATATCCCTGAGAGTGAACAATTCAGATTCACAAGATGCACGTTTGCTAACATTGGACCATCAATCCAAATAGAAGAACCTCTGAAAGATATCTTCAGCCCTTATCTAGAGATCGGTGAGTGCTACATCTTCTTAGTTATAACTGATGTCTTTCATTAAACTGCTGCAGATAAGGGTCGAATGTAGAAAATATGAAGAGTGACAGTAACGGTTAAGAGCTCTCTCCCAAACATGGATGGTTGTCTTCTACAGAAATAACTGTATTTTCTAGAAAAATATTGGTTTTCTTATTATGTTTTTCAGATCATCAACAGTTCACCTGGAGAAACGCCATGGAAGAAACCCTTCAAAACGACAGCGGACCAAATAACGGGGTTACTCCAGTCTGGGAGGTATATTCAAGCAAATATACATTACTTACATGTACACACAAATATCTGTTTTAAATGTTAGTTTTTATTGTTGTGAATTCTTCCACAACACTGGCCCCTTGATTTGCTCTACATTGACAACTAACTTTCTACCGTCAAAACAAATTTCAATCTTTTTTGTATGTCCTGGTGGTGTATCATTTACAGCAGGAAGTAGTCAAGACCCCACAAAAATACTCTAGAGTACCCCTAGAGGGCGACTACTCCCTGCCTACATTCTACAAATCAATGCATCAAACCACACAGACCGCTATCAAAAAAGAATCAAACAAATACAACGAAGACAATTACTTGGTCTTACTGAATTGAGGAATTTTCATGGCAATAGTTTCACAGCTTTTACAAATGCTCCAAGTGCTTTCTAAATGTGTGTGTGACTTCTACAGATACCCCAAACATCCGATGAGAACCTCCTGATTACGACCTACCAGGGTCTGAGGACTCACCAGGGGATGATGGGATGCACACAGAGCGGATATAGTATCCCTCAGAATGACCAGTTAAGATTAACAAGTTCCCTTCATTCAGCCGCTAACGTTGGACCTTTAACCTTCAAGCCTCTGAAGGATATCTTTGGCCCCTCTCAAACGTTTGGTGAGTGATAAAAAGCTGATTATAATTTGTAAATAGTATGTTTGTACTCATTCAATGTCTGCAAATGATGCATGAGGGCAATTTCAAGCTCTTAAAACTGAATTTACGAAACAAATCTATTCCCAGAGAGTAAACAGATTACTTGGGGAAGTCCCCTGGAAGAATCTCCTCAACAGGATGGCGGACCAAATAACTCCATTGCTTCAGCAAGAGGAAAGGTATATTCAAGTGAATATATACAGATGAAATGTATTAAATATATCCCTGAAGGAAGAAACCCTAACCCATTATAAAATGACAGAATGTACCTGTTGCTTCAAACTTCACCACCCTGACGGCCGCTCCAGCTGCAGAAGCCACACTGAACGACACAAATCAATTATGTATGCATTCATCTTTGTACTTTATCATAGCTGGAAGTTAGGCTATGCAGCTGGTTTTAACAGTAAACCATCCTCCTTTCCTACAGTTGTTACAGCTCAACAGAACTCTCAGCAGACGGCCACAAACTCTGACAAAACTCATCAAGGGCACAATTTCTCCATTGGTGCACAGGTACAATACATTCCTGTAAAACAGTTTAAAGTGTCGCTTAAATTATAATTATTTGGGAAAGGTTGGAAAAGCTTCAGTTCAAATCATAAAATCTTATTTTCCATTTTTCTCTGACAGCCTTCAATGTACCCCGTGTCACAGATGGTTGATACCCCAACCACTCCTGCAGCTGCAGGAATCACAGTCAATGACACAAACAAATCATGTATGCATTATCAAGTTTGTATATTTGTAACTTTATTGGACAAAATGCAGCTGTATTCAACAGTGACCCATCCTCTTTCCTACAGTTGTTACAACTCAGCAGAATTTCCAGCAAACAGCCACAAACTCTGGCGTAAATCGTCAAGCTTTCACTTTCTCCAGTGGTGCACAGGTACAATACATTCCTGTTAAACAGGTTCAAGTGTCAAAAACTTAAAAAAGTTAAAAAAGCTATATAGATATAATCGCATTTCCCACTTTCCTCTGACAGCCTTCACTGCTCCTAATGCCACAGATGTTTGGTACCCCAGCCATTCCTGCAGCAGCAGAAGTCCCAGGTAAGGCCACAAACAAATCATATGCATCATCATTATACAGTAGTATATTTCTAACTGGATTAACACAATGCAGGAGTGTTTAACCCTAACCCATCCTCTTTCCACAATTTCTACAGTTATGAAAACTCAGCAAAGCGCATTCAATCTCTCCAGTGGTGCACAGGTACAACACATTTCTGTACAAACAGGCACGAAATGTTAGCAAAGCTTTGTTAAGTTTAACCCTTAAAGTCTCATCTTCCATTTTTCTCCAATAGCCTTCGCTGATGCCAATGTCACAGATATTTGGCAGCCCAACGTTTCCTACATTTAAAGATGTCACAGTGACGCACACAAACAAATCAAGTACTGTTTTTAACTGATTCCTTTAGAAATGTAACTATATATAGATAAGATTAAAAGCAGCTTGTTTGATCCTTATCAACTTTTTTTTCTATACAGTGTTTGAAACTCCCCCCCATCTCAGTACAACTCATCAAAACACCAACAACGTTCGTAGAGCGCTTGATTTCTCCACCGGTGCACAGCAGGTACAACAGGTCTCAAGTCTTTAAATGTCCCACTGGAGAGCAAATTCTACCTGTCTGATGGAGTTTAGAGAATTCCTTGTTGTAACGATGCATCGCTTTTAAATGTACCTTCTTTTATAGATCCATTGCAGCCTGAAATGTATACTGTCTTTGAGTCTAGCTTGCACTAAGTGCCTTCCTCCTTTAGGTGGAGCAGTACTGGGAACTTCCAACAACCACAGCTCAGGAAACAGCCTTCCAATTAAAGGAGAGAGAGAGGGAGGCTCAAAAACTACAAAAGGTACTTAACTTTAAAGTATACAATGTTTAATTAGACAAAACTAGCAGTATGAAATGTTTGCCTATTGTTAGGTCTGTAGATTCACCACTATCTAGTCTCAAAGGTCACGTATTGTCCAAATCCACTTCTTCTTGTCGTTTATACATAAACACCCGTTTATAAAACCTGTCTGAAAATGAGCCGATCAGATTTTGGCCACCTTATGATGTATATAACTGAGACCTTTAATATATTGATAAAAAAACAGTATAATAGGGGACCTTTAAATATTTCAACTACTCTCAAATGAAGCTTCATGAAATTTGGTACTGATATCCACGGTGCCCACAGGAAGAATCATACAGCCTTTGGTCGAACTTTGACTTTTGATGTAATGCTAACCATATCTGGTATGAAGTGAAAGTAGTCAGTGTTGGAGCCTTGTATTCATATGAAAGCTGCTCAGTAGCAAAGAAGACTAACACTGACACCGTAAACGCGTTAGCTAAATGTTTACACCAGTAATTATTCAATTGTTTCAAACTCATAGGCTTCCATACAACACATTTGTTTTTGCAACCTTTGTTGTCACCCCCTACTGGCCATTTGAAAGAATACCTGTTTAAATAATTTAGCATAGTCATCACTTTTCGTACCATGATATCAAAGATAACTCGTCCCGTTTTTAAACATCTTCAAGATACATTGCCAAATTGCTATTGAAGACATTTCTGGTCACTAGATGTTATATTCTTGGGCCATGGGTGTTTCCCAGTTCCCATCTTCTAGTGCCACCAGCAGGTGCATATTTGTTGTTTTAAGGTATTGTCCCATGAGCTTCGGATGGGTTTAAATGGAAGTTATACTCCCCTCAGCTTTCATTGGACTTTACTGTATTGGCAATCTAATAAAAGTACTTTGTGTCTTTACTCCAGATGAGGCAGGACATGATAAGGGCTGATTTACAGCAGAAAATTCAGACAAGAGAACAGAAGATTTCTGAAGTCACATCATCTGTAAAAGCCTGCAAGGTGAGTCGAAGCAGATTATTTAAATGTTCTCCCTTCGTTAAGGTTTTTTTCAACATCCTCATAATCCGTTACTCTTTTCAGGGCGGCTTGGATGCCGAATGGCTGGAGATCAACAGCGTTTTCTCAGAGGTGATGAAAGTCGTGGAGGACTCTCGGAAGAAAGCCCTTCAACCTCTGGAGGAGAGGTGGGTGGCTCAGTAAATATCGCAGTGATTTATGACATTAACTGCACCCAGTGGCGTTTCTATATGTACAAAAGTGGTGGGGCACAAAAAACGTAGATGTCTATATATAGCTTCTGCAGTGAGGTTCATGGCTGGTGAGGCACTGGCACTGACTCTTCAGGTTTACAAATATTATATTTTGACCTAAATCAAAATATAATATTATTTTCAAAAGCCTCTTTAGTCTGATGCTTCAATTAATTTTAAACAGACAGTTCAACAGAAGGATACCCAAAAAATGTAATTTTATCATTTAAATATTGAATTGTTTTCTCTTAGTAAGATCCCATTTTCAATAAAATTGCGGTCTTACCTTGACATGAAGATGAAGTCCATTTGCCTATCCTTCTGGACAAAAATCGCTATTACTTTTTTGTAAAAGTCCTCCTTATCTTCTTGTAGTTTCAAAAGTTTATCATAAATCTAAATGATGGATTTATGATTCGAAAATGATAAAAGTAGGGTAGACATGTGGATATTATCCGGCTGAACAAAACGTACATTTATCTAACAGCTACGTTTCCCACAGATCTTATTTAGAGCTATTTTCTAAAATCCTATGGAGAAATGTCATTGCTTTTTAGTGGAGGGAAGCCATGCGCAGCTTACTTCCTGGTTTTAGGACGCGTCTCTCTCCTCCTCTTCACCTGCTCTTCACACACCACACTTTTCGCGGCACACGTACTTACAGCCAATCAGCTCTGAATTATGTGAGATGACGTATGGTGGGGATGGCAGCTCTATGCCCCTATGGTCATTATTTTTTGCCACACACATTAAATAGGACAATACTCTGAGCATGCGCAGTGTAGTTTTTACAGTCACCGTTCACTTAGACAGGGAGAGGGAGGGGCAGGATCGGGTTTTGTCCCACATGGCTCTAAACAGCTCAATAGGCACACACTGTAGACACTAATTAGAAGAACACAGACTAAAACAGCAACGTACAGACGAATCAAATGATTAAACATGATCTTAAAATATATTTTATATATATTTTAATTTATTTTTTGCATTTTGTTGTAGTCATTATTTTAATACTTTCTGCTGACACTAGGTGGGGCTGTGCCTAATGACCAGTCGCCACTGACTGCACCAATGTTAAGGTCATCAATAAATAAAACTGCCTATTGTTACTATGTGTTATTTTAGGAGAAAGAGAGTGAGTAGAGAAGGACTACATCTGGTCAAGAAGCTGCAGAATGAAATTGACAAAATCAGGAAGACCATTGATGAGTTGGACAAAAATGCCGACTTGCAGGTAAGACATCCAAACTTTTGGCATTTTTCTATCATTAAAAAGTCATTTGGCCTCTATAATGCTAGATGTCAGTATGCAAGGACAATATCCAGATCCAGGGGACACTAAAAGGTTTATACTGAGAATGTGACATTTATCCCACAGGGTCTTCCTAAAACAGGCCTGGATGAATCTCGAGATTGGAAACATTTAACTGTTGACACTTCATTCTCCTTTGGGTCACTGAGAGCTACAACATCGAGCATGATGGAACAAATTCACCAGGAACTTGAAAAACTCTCTTCTGTTGGTATGTTCTTGACGTTAAAACGTGAAAACTCAAGCACCATTGCTTTCTTTGTGTTTCGTAAATAATAAAACAGGCCTCATAGGGAACCAATCTGAATGAAGATGTTTCTTATTCTACAGGCGTTCAATTTAAAGCAAAAACCTATTCATTGCCTATTGCATATAATGTAATGTTTTTCAATCATAGTAACAAGATTTCTCTTCCCACAGAACTCAAGAGGATTCCCACATTTGCAGGTGTGTGACACAGAACATTAAGAGAACATGTCAGTAATTAAACATTGTAACCTGGCCATAGTTTGAAAGAAAACACCTCCAGGCACTCACAGAAAGAAAAAGGTTACATGGCTTGTGCATGGCAATAAACAAAGTAAATGGTCAGGTCTCCTTCAGATTAGCAAATAAAGAGACCTGAGCCTGATCCTTTTATGCAATCATTCAGGGCTGCTTCCTCGTTGGGTAATACGATCAACTGGTGGGAGATAATCAGCGCCATTCAGGGGGTGCTGCCCAAAGATTTTACCAACCGAAATAAATGAAACTACAAGAAATAAATCAAATAAGGATACACATTGTTATTTGCAAAGAAAAAATGATGTTTCACAATAAAATACTATGAGGAAATGTACTCTATGTGGCAGAAACATGTCCTCAACCTACTTTAAGTGATTGAAATTCCTTCAAGACAAAAATATTTGTTAATATCAAAATGAATAGGACATTTGCAACTGTCAACTTACCCCACCTTTGACCACTATACTGTACATTATATTGTCTTGATGCACAACAAGGATGGACTTTCTCCACACAAATGTAGAATGAAATGTGTACAGATGTTTATTGAGGATATTGCATGGATAAAACAATGACCCATTTGTGAACAAACCTCCAGAGAAAAGCCTTTTTGACTTTAAAACTGAATGGAATAAACAGATTATCCTGGCCTAAATGAAGAAATGTATCGTTAAATATATATTTAAACATAGATATTTTTATATGTATTTTATTGAGTGACCAGGTTTATATTTGTATTGGATTCGTTATTTGTTTGTGAAATCTTAAGAAGGTTCCCTCAGCATAACTCTGGTTATCTCCCACCTGTTGACGCAATTTCCAATCAGGACATTGCATAAAAGGATCAGGCTCAGGTGTTGCCTCCATTGGCACCTTGCAGCAGATCTGTTGAATGGTTGAATTGAGTTTCATCAGCATTTGTTTGTTGAGTGCATTTCATGTCTGACCCACTGAGCATACCCCTCCTTTTTTGGTAAAAAAAAATTCCACAAACAAACTCTTTGCAGTCTTGAAGTTGGACTTTTTGATCACATAACTCTCCACTTAATCACTAGAGGCATTTTCTTAAAAAATGTAACCTGTGTGTTTTGTTGGTAGGACAATGAACAAGCTGGGACCTTAAAAAAAGATTTGGTCCTACATGTAGAGCAATATTGTGGAAGTTATACATTTTAAAGCTCTATTCTTCTCAAACCACTCAAGACTTCTTAATATTTGCTTTCTTTATGAAGTAGTTATACTTGAATATGACAAGTTAAAGTTAAAAGCATCAGCATGTAGATTGTGTCATCCATATGAAGTGCATGATGACCCTATTTCTATTTATCTCCTCAACCACAGTGGATGTAAAGCTGGACCCAACCACAGCCCACCAGTGCCTTGTGCTTTCCCCCGATGGAAAGACAGTTAGAGATGGAGGAAATAACCAAAAAGTACCCGATGCTCCGCAGAGGTTCGACATGTTCGGCAGCATCCTGGGGCTCAACAGGTTGACTTCTGGGAAGTCATACTGGGAGGTGGAGGTCACCAACAAGTCGGGGTGGGACCTGGGTGTGGCACGACGCAATGCAAATCGCAAGGGGAAACTCTCTGTGAACTCGGAGAGCGGTTACTGGGTAGTCGTGCATTACGAAGACAAAAAGTACGCAGCCCTGACAGTACCACCAGTCAGCCTCCCCCTGAAAGAGAAACCTGAAAAGGTTGGAGTGTTTGTGGATTACGAGGAACGTCTCGTGTCCTTCTACGATGTGATGGCTCAATCTCACATCTACACGTTTACCGAGTGCATGTTCAGCGATCTGATTCTTCCATATTTCAGTCCACATCCTAAACAAAATGAGAAAAACTCCCATCCTCTGATTATCTCTCCTGTGAAGAAGCAGTTGTAGTTATATGAAGTGAATAGTTACCGGTGCACTAAAAGTTAAAATGCACCACTCACTGTAAATATCAGTACAGGTGTAGGCCTACATGATATTTCATGACACTACCAAAGGGTTTAAATCTAGGGTCTTGGCCTGGGCATCACCTCTGTAAAGAGATTCTGAAAGTTTCAGGAACAAAGATTCTCTCTCTTTTTGTCCTGATCCATTTATATAAAACCTGTCTGAAAATGAGCTGATCAGATTTTGGCCACTTTATGATGTCATAACGATTTTGTTGGCTTGTGTCACCATTAGCCAATAACCCCCCCCCCCCTATCACCTGAATCTCCTCCTAGAGCACCATTGTGTTCTTTTTAACCAAATATCTCTCAAAGGGGCGTGGGGAGGGGCTCCTTATATTCATCTAAAGTAACAGACAGAGAATCAGCACTGTTTTGCATATATCTGAGATTTATAATACATTGATGAAAAACAGTATAATAGGGGACCTTTAAAATGGGTTGTAAGCTATCCCCTTTCGGTATGAGTCAGCATTGTGGTCGTCTCCTGCTAGCTGTCATAAATTGACTCTCTTCCAGTTTTCAGGTACATTTTTGAAGTTACACTTTTTATATCTCGTTCGTTTCTAACTATACATTTTTAACTGAATGGAGAATTTATGTTATCAGACATGTGTATCTTAAGCTAACAGACACACTAGCTAAGCTAACATTAGCAGGAGCAGAATAGCATCCGAAAAAAACAATTTTTGAACTTCAAACTACTTTAATCTCTGTTTCCATCGGTCATTATAACAAGCACTGTTTATTGTTTAGAGTAGGAGACCATAAACAGACCAGTTCACTCACTTTTAAATCCTCATGAACAGGATCTTAGAATGATCAGACAAACATTATAAGCTAATGTTAGCGGTTAGCTTGCAACCGCACAGATGGATTTCATGTTTTGTATGCAAAATCCACATTTTGGAAGTAACTTTAGCTGTCAACTGCTTCAACGTGGCATTACATTCCTCAAAAGGTTAAATTAAGTACTATGCAATAGAAAATGTACTTGTTTGCATTCTACCACTTATCTTTACTTGATATAACCCCTAACTCTTGCACACTGTATTTTCTTTATTTTTTAAATTGCATTTTACAGATCCTTTTTTCTAGTTCCAGATTATCTGTTACACCGCCATGCATGACTCTCTCTACATATAACTATTGACGGTTATAACAAAATGTTTTATGCTATTAAGCGAGAAGACTTTATTACAAGTTATATTTGGGAAACTTTGTATACTTCTCTTCAGGGGTCTTGTAAAAACTAAAGCAATAAAACATGATTTACGTTGTATTTGTTGATGTACCAAGGTCCTTTAAAGAGAAGTGGTCTCAGTCCGGTCGACTTCGAGCTGACATTACTACCAAATGAAGTCATTTTAAGGAAGGCATTTTAAGACTCTTTATTTTATTTTACTAGGAACGGTCTTGTGTTTCATTACATCGAGAATGTCATGGTGATGGATATATACATTTTAAAATGTGTTTTATGTCTTGTAATTGCATTGAGAAAAACCCCCGGCACTTACCTATAGAAGATTACGTTTGTTATTATAATTGACTCAATATGATTTTAATAGGATACTAAATACTTGTGAATCATATCAGTGTCATTAGCATCGGCGTAGCTAGTGGATCGCCGGAGCTGTTAGATTAACATTAACATACTTATAGTCAGTGGCGACTGGTCATTAGGGGCAGGCACAGCCCCACCTAGTGTCAGCAGAAAGTATTAAAATAATGATTACAACAAAATGCAAAAAATAAATTAAAATATATATAAAATATATTTTAAGATCATGTTTAATCATCTGATTCGTCTGTACATTGCTGTTTTAGTCTGTGTTCTTCTAATTAGTGTCTATAGTGTGTGCCTATTGAGCTGTTTAGAGCCATGTGGGACAAAACCCGATCCTGCCCCTCCCTCTCACTGTCTAAGTGAACGGTGACTGTAAAAACGACACTGCGCATGCTCAGAGTATTTTCCTATTTAATGTGTGTGGCAAAAAATAATGACTATAGGGGCATAGTGCTGCCATCCCCACCATACGTCATCTCACATAATTCAGAGCTGATTGGCTGTAAGTATGTGTGCCGCGAAAAGTGTGGTGTGTGAAGAGCAGGTGAAGAGGAGGAGAGAGACGCGTCCTAAAACCAGGAAGTAAGCTGCGCATGGCTTCCCTCCACAAAAAAGCAATGAGATTTCTCCATAGGATTTTAGAAAATAGCTCAAAATAAGATCTGTGGGAAACGTAGCTGTTAGATAAATGCATGTTTTGTTCAGCCGGATAATATCCACATGTCTACCCTACTTTTATAATTTTCGAAACATAAATCCATCATTTAGATTTATGATAGACTTTTGAAACTACAAGAAGATAAGGAGGACTTTTACAAAAAAGTAATAGAGATTTTTGTCCAGAAGGATAGGCAAATGGACTTCATCTTCAAGTCAAGGTAAGACCACAATTTTATTGAAAATGGGATCTTACTAAGAGAGAACAATTCAATATTTAAATGATAAAATTAAATTTTTTGGGTATCCTTCTGTTGAACTGTCTGTTTAAAATTAATTGAAGCATCAGACTAAAGAGGCTTTTGAAAATAATATTATATTTTGATTTAGGTCAAAATATAATATTTGTAAACCTGAAGAGTCAGTGCCAGTGCCTCACCAGCCATGAAACTCACTGCAGAAGCTTATATAGACATCTAAGTTTTTTGTGCCCCACCACTTTTGTACATATAGAAACGCCACTGCTTATAGTAGTTGCAATTGCGGCCTGTGGCACCATGGAGCATATGTGTGGGCTCGAAAGGAGTGAGGAGTTGTCGATTCTATGCTGAACACCCTCTCAGAATTTCAGTTGCACGCACTACTAAAGAGACGCGCTGCCATGGAAACCAAACAATGGTGTAGCTGTGTTAAAGTCCGAGTGGAAACAGTCGTGAGTAAATCTGATTTTGTCAGAAATCTGGAGAAATGCGGGAGAAATATGACCCCGGGAGGAAACCGGGAGAGTGCAATGAAATCGGGAGTCTCCCGCGAAAAATCGGGAGGGTTGGCAAGTATGGTAGCACGTAGCTTACAGATCGTTGGACCGGCAATATTTTATTATTATTACAGTCTGAAATCACAAAAGCTTTTACATATATCGCAGCAAAAACCGGCACTTACCAGATTACGTTTGTTATAACTTACTCAATATGATTTTAAAGGATACTAAATACTTGTGAATCATATCAGTGCCATTAGCATTGGCGTAGCACGTAGCTTACAGATCGTTGGATCAGCGATATGTTATGATTATTACAGTCTCAAATCCAAACTTTATAAAAGATAGCGCTACAAAAACCGAGTTTAGATAAAGACAATTGCGTTACTTGGAACTAAATAGGAGAATAAATACTTGTGTTATCACCTCAGGCGTAGCTTTATAACCTTCACACAGATCGCCATTACAGCACTATGTCTGAACATGTTAGCAAATGCCTGATCATTTAAATAAAAGCAAAGACTGCTGAGCTTACATTTTACAAAAATATATAAACATCCAACCGATTACTGTCGATGTTTGGGTTAGAAAAAAGGCTACATTGATAACAGTGGCGGTGCCAGATATTTTCTTTTGGGGGTAGCTTGACGTTTCATAGAGGGTACACAAACATATATATATATATATATTAGCTGTACACTTTACGAATATAATGTTTTTTTATGGACAACTTTACCATTCAATCTCGTCCAACTGATCTTCCTGCTGTCACTCCTCGGCTCTTGGTAGTTCAGGCATTTATCAAACCTGGCAACTCCAGGTTTCCTGGCAGCTGTCAATCAAAGTCCAGTGGCTCTGCCCTAAGGTGTCAGAAACTTTTCACAAGCGCACAGACAGACTTCGCGAGCAAGTGAGGCTGACACTCCCGCCAGCGAGCAAGAGGGCTGTCTCTCTCGCGAGCGAGCGCTTAGCCGCTCGCGGGGTGTAGAGTATTCGCATTTGGTCTCTTTTGTCCTTCTGCAGGCACCGTACCGGAGGTAGGGATCTACAGGCGGGATTCGAGTAGTGTTGTGATAACTGCCCATGCCCGGCGCCGTGGGAGGGCCAGGGAGGGCCAGGCCCTCCCATTTGACATTCCTGCCCTCCCCGAATAAACACGTGTTTTTATTATTTATACAAATTTTAAAAAAAATATTTTTTTTTTTTTAAATTATAAATAAACTGTGAACTTTTATGCTACGATGTATGTCAGAACTAAAAAAAAAATCGCAGGCGCCAGGCTACGTCAAATAAATGCATGTGTCTGTTGTGATTTGTGATTCGTCCCCATTTAGACCAATCACAGCGTCACACTCTGCCGCCTATTCTGGATTTGTTTATTGTGCATTCTGTAGACTCCCATTTCTGTTTGAATTACAAAATGGACATAACAAATTGGCTTAAAAGGTCTAAGAATTTATTAAAACGAAATAGCGATGAAAGAACTGCAGCCGATGGTGCTGCTGGCGACCCTGCACCTGCCGTTGCAGCAGCACGCCTTAATGTCACAAGCTTGACCTCGGCAAACCCCGGGGCTGAGTTAGCGATGATCTGGGGTTAATAAACCCAAGCAGGTGAAGCTGGATCGTTATCCAGGGAGATTGTTTTCAGGAAAGAACCGCACTTTTGCCGGTCTGTTGAAGATTCGTTAAAAGCAGACGCAGCCTTGTGTCTTCATCTGATGCGGCTTTTACTGTCAAAGGTTTTTGCGACTGGAAACACGCATTACAGACTGATAAAGGACTGCTAAGGCATGCCGCATCAAAAGAACACATTTCATGTGAGAGTGTGTGGAAAGAGAGACAGATACGCGAGGAAACAAATAAGGAAATTAGAACTTTGGTGCAGATCAGCTGCACGGAGCCGTTATTACGTGTCAGCTGTCGTTGATATTATAGCTTTTTTAGCTGTCAACCAACTCCCTCTCAGAGGTGACTCGATTCACTCCACAGCATGTCCGAGTTCAGTGCATCGGAACATAAACCATGCCCAAGGCGGGCTAAACAGTTCATCGACTCCGTCTCTACTATTTCTCTCCGAGTGCAGCGATGAGGAAGCTGCCATCCTTAACCAGTGTGCCTTGCTCGTGATTTACCAGTGTTTGTGCTGCCACGCACACAATGTTTCAAAGTGGTTTCTACGTTGCCCTTTATTTGTGTATGTTTGCGATAAGTGTGCGTCTTTGCGCAATGCCGTTGGCCTTGCTGTTTGATATATATTGTGCCTTAGGCCCGCAGCACGTGACGGTTTTGTGGGCCCTCCCATGAAAATCATAGGCCCTCCCTTTAGATTTGTTCTGGCGCCGGGTCTGTAACTGCCATGTCGATGTAATGTTGCTCCGTCACTATTAAGGTTATTAAACCAAGTGCTATGATAAACATGACTCGTTTATGAGAACATCAAACTGCGCATCAAACATCTGCGCGCGAGGGTCATTTTATTCTTGTGTAAAAGCAAATATTCCGCTCGTGAGTAGCTTGTTTTGCGCGCTAGAATATTGACCCAAATCTGACTCCATACAGGAGCAGCTCATCTCCTGTGTTTGACAAAGCGGCTCACAGTCTTCTCTATTTTTTTTTACTCTGTTTTTATAATACTTTAAATATTGTTCAGAACTAGTTTTCCTATTTATTCCTAAATGTTTTTGGTGTTGTTGTTCGATTTGCACTAAAATCAGTTTTGCACAAAAGTTTATTATACTTGTATTTTTATATTGCCAATAAAAAGTGTTCTAATATTAAGAGTTGCGTGCATTTCATTCAAGGCAAGGCAACTGTATTTACTTAACACATACAGAGGGTAAATTCAAAGTAGTACATTCACTGACATGAATGACATGGATATGGCGCCACCTTGTGTCATGTTTACGATGCAGATTATTGACATTAGGTCTGGCAATACAGTCAATCATTATCCTGGTGATTATTTCGCAGATAAACCTATTAGCCCCGCCCCCTTTACAAAAACGGCTCTTTTGAACGGCACTTTGGAAGGAACGGCAACGGAGCCATAAGATCCGGCTCCCTTCAAAGAGCCATAATAATTCCCATCACTACCTGCCGTCCTCTCTAGTGTCTAGATGAGGTTCAGGCAAAGCACGGTTAATGTATTATATTATTGAGGGAGAATTGTCCGGGGCAACAGAAAAAACATTCGGGACTAAAGCCCCGAATGCCCAGGCCAGGCGACGCCACTGGATGTGGGTAAGGAGGAAAAGAGAGAGGGTTTTATCTTCTGACGCTGCATGAGTTCCCTGACACACCGGGGAAACATATTTATGTATAAAATACATACAAAAGTGCATTGTGCACTGCATGATAGGTCCCCTTTAAGTATCATTTTTGAATGGAGGACTTTAACTTTTACTTATGTCAATAATCTGAATACTTCTTCCACCTCTGGGTAGCTACTAATGAACAGTATATATATTTAAATTCCGAAAAACATTATAGATGTATTAATTTTGTGTTAGCTCTTTGCTACAGCAAATTATTTATTGTATTAGATTCACAGGGAATGAAAAAGAGATTTTTCGATAGGTGTTGCTCAATAGGATATCGTGTGCATATTTTAAAGAACGTGTCAGTCTTATTTGGTCAGAAACGAAACTGAAACTGTCCAGAATGAACAAATAGGAGGAGAGACAGAAAGACAGATCGTTGAGAGAATCGCGAGGAGAGAGACAAGGTAAAATGCAGCTTGACGGCTAATCTGATTAATTGTATTATTTTAAAATGCAATGATTTTAATAGAACGTAACAAAACAGTCATACAGTCGCTGTCGAGGTTGTATAACATTCGTGCAAACAAACTAACCGGCCTACTCCGAATACAGTTGCGTGTCTTAAAACAGTAACGGCCTATTCAGATTACTTTTAGAATACTTTTGGAATACTTTACATTTCCATCAGAGATGTGTATGTTTGGGTGTACGGAGACACAAAAAGCTAAAGGAAACTCGAACACAACATCTGAAACGATGTTATAACTTTTACAACTTTTTCCAGTCACTTGCCCCATGCATTCAGCAGCAGGCTATTCACTTTGATTGTATCCCGTTATGAAATGTCATCATTTCAACAATAAATAAATGCTACATAAACGTTATCTTGCACATTGAATCAAACAAACTCCGTTTCTAATAACCAATATCATTATTCCGCTCTCATCACTCCACAAAATAGATCCCTCTCTCGTCCGTGTGCGGGGGGCTGCTCGCTCACAGACACGCTGCATTTCTCTCTATCTATCTATCTCTCTCTCAATTCAATTCAACAGCTTGATTAGCATGACCATAGTTACATACAGTAGGCCTATTGCTAAAGCTCTGTATAGTTGCAACATCTATACACAAATACATACACAAACAAACTGCTAAGAATTTGAACAGCAAGAACATGTTTTTTTATTTGTTTATTTGTATTTCTTTTACAAGGAATACAGATTCATTTTAATTCATATAATACATTTCTCTCTCTCTCTCTCTCTCTCGAGGAGAGAGAGCCAGATGAAGAGAAGAGAGAAGAGGAGAGGAGAGAGAGACAGAGAGAAGAGAGAGAGCGAGATGAGATAGCGCAGTGAGAAGCGATATAAGGAGATCTAAATGCTCTCTGCTCTAGATCGCTCTACTCTCTCTCTCCTCTCTAGCCTCTCTTCTCTCTCTCTCTCTCTCTCTCTCTCTCTCTCTCTCTCTCTCTCTCTCTCTCTCTCTCTCTCTCTCTCTCTCTCTCTCCATACTAATAGATAATTATCCCTTATATGCTGTATCTAAGCTATTTTAGATTACTTATACATGTTTTTTACAAGTATTAGTCAATTGAACACGAAGTACCTCTAGTGGGCGACTAATCACTGTCTAATCTCAGTCATCTTTAACCACATTAATAATGACTTTTGGGGACTCATCTGGTCACAATTAAGATATTAAAATTGGGTTTTAATTTCTTCTTGAAATGTCCCCATAACAATTAAGTTTTGGCATAAAACAAAAGTAGAAATCTTTATGTACTTTCAATCTAAGGAAAAAGGTGATTTACCTAAAATGCAAATAAGTGTTAATAAATACAAAGCAGAGACCTCCTGTGAACTCTGAACATCTTGGGTGGCATGTGTTGCTTCTACTGTATGTGGAGCACGTCCTTTCCTAATGTCTGTGTGTGACCTCTACAGATGTCCAGCATGCAGGTTTGCCACTGCGGATGGTCCAAAGTCACCACCTACCATGGTCTGAGGACTCACCAGGGGAAGATGGGATGCACACAGAGGGGAATGAGTATCCCTGAGAGGGAACAAATCAGATTTCCAAATTACATTACATCTTCCAACATTGGATCCAATAGCTGGATTACTCCAGTCCGGAAGGAGGTAAATTCTAACAAATGTATAGATTATGAGTTCCTATACATAAAAACAAATAAACTTTGACTTTTAGTAAAAATAACGACAAACATGATGTCTTGGTTCAAACCACAATTAAGAATGACTGTATTGTGGACCGTGAGAATAATTATCATGTCGCCTTAGCTTTACATCGTTCCAGAAGATGTTGAGAAGCAATTGTTGCTTCGATAAATGTGGAGTAAGTGCTTTGTTTATGTGTGTGACCTCTAAAGATAACCAACACATCAGACAAGAGCATGCAGATGTGCTACTGCGGATGGTCCAACTGTACAACCTACCAGGGTCTGAGGACTCACCAGGGGATGATGGGATGCACACCGAAGGGAATGGAAATCCCTGAGAGTGAACAATTTAGATTTACAGGTTACAAGTATAAAAATGCTGACAGTGGACCTTCAATCAAAATAGACAAAACGTTGACTCCCCCCCACCACAGCAAAACTCATCAAAACACCAACAATGTTCGTAGAGCGCTCGATTTCGGTGCACAGCAGGTACAACAGGTCTCATTTTATTTTAATGTCCCGCTGGAGAGTAAATCCTACCTGATTGATGGAGTTTAGAGAATTCCTTGTTGTAACGCTTTTAAATGTACCTTCTGTAATAGATCCATTGCAGCCTGAAATGTATACTATATTTGGGTCTAGTTTGCACTAAGTGCCTTTTTCCTTTAGGTGGGGCAGTTGTACTGGGAACTTCCAACAACTTCAATTGCCTTCCAATTAAAGGAGAGAGAGAGAGAGAGGGAGAGGGAAAAGGAGATGGAGAAAGAGAGGGAGGCTCAAAAACTACAAAAGGTACTTCATTTTAAATTATACAATGTTTAATTAGACAAAACTAGCAGTGTGGCTCTATTTGTGACATGTTTGCCTATTGTTAGGTCTGTTGGTTCAACACTATGGTCTGGTCTTAAATATTTCAACTAGTCTCAAATGAAGCTCCGTGAAATGTGGGACTGATATCCACGGTGCCCACAGGAAGCATCCTACATCCTTTGGTAGAACTTTGACTTTTGATGTAATGCTATCCATATCTGTATAAGAAGTGAAAGTAGTCAGTGTTGGAGCCTTGTATTCATATGAAAGCTGCTCAGTAGCTCAATTGTTTCAAACTCATAGGCTTCCAACCTTTGTTGTCACCCCCTACTGGTCATTTCAAAGAATACCTGTTTAAAGAATTTAGCATAGTCATCACTTTTCGTACCATGATATCAAGGATTACTCGTCCAGTTTTTAAACATCTTCAAGATACATTGGCCAAATTGCTATTGAAGACATTTCTGGTCAATAGATGTTATATCCTTGGGCCATCTGTGTTTCCCAGTTCCCATCTTCTAGTGCCACCAATAGCATAATTGCCCAAGTCATATTTGAATGTTTTTGGAAAACAAGAAAAAACACAATTTTTAGCAAGCACATTGGTCTTTTTTATTGATTTTGTAACAGTAAGTTCAACCAGATGTGTGAACAAATTTGCACAAAAAAAAAGACACAACATCAATTGCATAATAAAAATGACTTAGGCAGAATGTGCTGAGTCTGAGGCAATTTTTCTTACACAACTTTTTTTACACATGAATACAAACATAACATAGAAAAGTAGTTTTACTTTCCTAAATATAACCAAGTTGTGTTACCTGTCTAACCTTAACCAAGTTGTTCTAAATGTCTGACCTTAACCAAGTTGTTTTACTTGTTTAACCTTAACCAAATCCTACTCAGGTGCTGTGTGAACTTGTTTTCTATTGATGAGGGAGGTTGTCGTAGTACTGGTGGGCCACTCTTGGTAGTACTGGTTTAATTGCCTGCAAGTCATTGTATTTCCTGAGAGTAATTGGCAATTGGGCAGGAAAGAGTGGGACCCAGTGGACCGGTTCTTCGGGGATGCTGAGTCGCTGAGGTAGGTCCTCCCAGTCAGACTCAAAATCCAACTTGTGCCGGATTCGACCATCTGCCAAGTACTGGAGAGCCCGAAGGTCATGGACTGTGGGGTCGCCAACTTTTCTGCCCGGTCGAATTTTGGTGACATAGGCCCCAGATAACTTCATGAAGTCACTGTGGTATAGCTGGGTCACCTTGTATGGGGATGGGTGCAAACGTGCAGTCTCAAAGATGACAATGTAATCACGTGGAGTGTGAATATCTTTGATGGTACGCCGTTCAATGAGGCTATGCATGGAGTCGCACTCCATTTTTGTGTGCCCTGCAACCAGAAACTTTTGTTCTATGGTGACACCATGCTTCATGGCCAGACCTAGGTACGCATTTGTGATGGTACAACATCGATTTTGATAGCCGCAGCCATCACTCCAGACTATGATCTTTTCGATGTTTCGGTTGGCGTCTAGGACTGACTCAAAGTGCTTGCACTGCAGATGGGCAAAAACCTCGCTGCTGAGGGAGCCCTCATGCTCCTCCCAGGCGTAACAATACCCATCTTTGTTACCCAGGTTGAAGCAAGTAAAGTTGTGCATCTGTAATTCAGTTTTGTAATACATCTTGCTAGCTTTTGTCTTGGGACACAGAAGAACGCTCTGAAGGTCCATTGTCCACACTTAGAGCTTGTCACTGGATTCCTGTTTATCCTTAGCTTTTTCAGCTTGAGCTTGAGCCTTTAATCTCATGTGAGTAGTAAGGGTATCCTGATCTATATTTCCCACCTTGGCGCCGATACATACATCACACTGGTCTTTTTTTGGTACGAACACAGAGTATTTCTGCTCACTGAACACTTTTCGGAAATATGTCTCACTCACAACACGTGCTCCACTTTTACCAGCAGATTTCTGGTATTCCTTGTGAAGGTCACTTAGAACTGTTCCCGGCTCCACAAACTTCTTATCCTGATAGGAGGGAACCTGATGGCAGTAATGGGATGGAACAGTAGGCAGCCCAGAGAGCCCTTCTTTCAGGAAGGTCTGGTCAGCATCTGATATGGGCATATGTGGACCAGTCTTATTGATCTTGCGTTTGGGCGGATCAGTTTTGGTTTTCATGTCCACAGTTAACCATGGTTCTGGGGGCAATGCCAAGGGTTGAACAGAAAATAATCTTACACACAGGTAGTTTACATCTATCTGCCAGTTGCAGGTGGTATGATAGGGACGTTTTTCTCCTTGATGCAACACCACCTTTCTTCTGCTTTATAGGCACATTTTCCACTAAAAAGTCTGGATATACAGGCATGGACCAGAAATTGTTGAAGATATCCATTCTCTCTTCTTCACTCAGCAGTTCACAATGTCGTTTCTCCGACCTTAAGCAGTGCTGTGATGTGCAGGGTGGGCCCATGGTCTTTGGCTGTCTCTCCTGTCCCGTTGCGTTCTTGTAACTCTACCCCTTAAGGCGCTTCTCTTTTATCACCTGTTGCTTCCACATATGTGACCTTAGACGCTTATGACGTTTAACAGCGGGAGCTTCAAGTGCAGCCTCTTCTTCACTATGTTGAGCCGTGTCTGCATCACTATCATCATCTGGGCGGTCATCTTTCTTAGGTCCAGTGTTGTGCTAGTTACTGAAAACCAGTAACTAGGTACCATTACTAGTTACTTCATTTCAAAAGTAACTCAGTTACTCTTCTGATTACTTACACAAAAAGTAATGCGTTACTGTGAAAAGTAACTTTTTAGTTACTTAAAAAAATGTCTCCCATTAATGCCCTTATAGCCTTCATTTCAGTACTGTTATTGCATTAGAGAATAATACAATCTGTTGATCAACTTGACATGCATTATATGCAATCTGGATTGCATTGATATTAGCTGGCTTTCCATTTTTGTATATTCTTTCTCCAGGTAGTTGGAAAAAGTTTTCCGTCCCATATGCCGTGTGCCACCCGGACATGCTATCATGCTAACTAGCTCCCTGAAAGCGGGTGACTCCACTGTAGCAATAGCCTGCATGTGTTCTACAACATACCATGCAATGGTTTTATCGACTTTTTCCTGGCCAGCAGTCCCTTGGTTAAAATCCAGCCGCTGTTGCTTAGGTGGAGGTGGAGTGGCGTCGGCTGAGTCTCTGTGGTCTTAGCCACTAGCTTCGTCCCAGCATGTTGTTTTTGCAGATGTTTTAAGAGATTTGAATTGCTGTTTTGGGCAGTAGATAGGATCTTTGACCCGCCAAGACACAACTTACATTTAACAGAAACTTTCTTTTCTTTGTGCTCGACAAAAGTGAAATAGTGAGAATATCTCCAGGTGGAGAAACTAGACTTGAGCTCCGCCGCCGCCATGATAGTCTTTCTCTGTTCGCCTGGCTGTTGACTATATAAAAAAACTAACGCAGTAACGGAGTAACGCACCATGTAGTAACGGTAACTGAGTTACTGAATTAAAAAAGTAATGCGTTAGAGTACTAGTTACTGCCAAAAATAACGGCGTTACACTAACGCGTTACTTAACGCGTTAGTCCCAACACTGCTTAGGTCTATAGTCCTCATCCAAGACAGAGTCATCGTGTTCACTTTCTGACCATGAATCAGGATCAGAATCAGCTCTGGAGGCTTCATCGGCTGTTTCTTCTTCAATCCGTTGCCCGGTGTCTATGTCATTTCCTTCTTTCTCACATCTACTGTCATCTAAATCCTTCTCTGAGTCCTTCTCTAAATTTGTATCAAGTTAATTTCCTGACCCTGAAGCAGAAGAAAATAAAGTTGCTGAGTGTTGCTACTTCATCATACCATGTCGCAGAAATGTGATTAAAAGTTTAAACACACAGTTCCTAATCCCTTTGATTGACTGAAAGTACATTTAGTGTCTAGAAAGTTGAAGAAATATGAACTAGCTCACCAGATGAATCAAAAAGAAGAGCTAATGCTTCACTTGTGGTCAGCAGAGCCCTCTGTCTCATGCGGTCCGCCATCTTTGTATGTAGCGTCAAAAATGCCTAAGTCAAAGAGATGACTTAGGCAGATAGTGATTTTGGACTCTAAAATGCGTTCTGATAGGCTGAGGACATAGGCAATAAGGCAGGGTGATGCAGCAGTGGTAGGAGAGTAAAGTTAGGCAGATATCACAATTTGGCCAAAAAATTACTTAGGCAATTATGCTATTAGGCTAACGAGGTGCATATTTGTTGTTTTAAGTTATTGTCCCATGAGCTTTGGATGGGTTTAAATGGAAGTTATGCTCCCCTCAGCTTTTATTGGCCTCACTGTATGGCATTCTAATAAAAGTACTTTGTGTCTTTACTCCAGATGAGGCAAGACATGATAAGGGCTGATTTACAGCAGACAATTCAGACAAGAGAACAGAAGATTTCTGAAGTCACATCATCTGTAAAAGCCTGCATGGTGAGCCGGAGCAGATTATTTACATTTTCTCCTTTGATTAAGGTTTTTTTCAACATCCTCATCATCCGTTACTCTTTTCAGGGCGGCTTGGATGCCGAATGTCTGGAGATCAACAGCGTTTTCTCAGAAGTGATGAGAGTTGTGGAGGACTCTCGGCAGGAGGCCCTTCAACCTCTTGAGGAGAGGTGGGTGGCTCAGTAAATATCGCAGTGATTTATGACATTAACTGCACCAATGTTAAGCTCATCAATAAATGACACTTCCTATTGTTACTATATGTTATTTTAGGAGACAGAGAGTGAGTAGAGAAGGAAAAGATCAGGTCAAGAAGTTGCAGAATGAAATTGACAAAATCAGGAAGACCATTGATGAGTTGGACAAAAATGCCGACTTGCAGGTAAGACATCCAAGCTTTTGGCATTTTTCTACCATTTAAACAATTCATTTGGCCTCTATAATGCTAGATGTCAGTATGCGAGGACAATATCCAGATCCAGGGGACACTAAAAGGTTTATACTGAGAATGTGACATTTATCCCACAGGGTCTTCCTAAAACAGGCCTGGATGAATCTCGAGATTGGAAAAATGTCACTGTTGACACTTCATTCTCCTTTGGGTCACTGAGAGCTACCATATCGAGCATGATGGAACAAATTCACCAGGAACTGGAAAAACTCTCTTCTGTTGGTATGTTCTTGACGTTAAAACGTGAAAACTCAAGCACCATTGCGTTCTTTGAGTTTCGCAAATAATAAAACACGAATCGTAGGGAACCAATCTGAATGAAGATGTTTTTCTTATTCTACAGGCGTTACATTTAAAGCAAAAACCTATCCATTGCCTATTGCATATAATGTAATGTTTTTAAATCATAGTAACAAGATTTCTCTATCCACAGAACTCAAGAGGATTCCCAGATATGCAGGTGTGTGACCCAGAATATTAAGAGAAAATTGCAGTAATTAAACTGGTCATGGTTTGAAAGAAAACAGCTCCAGGCACTCACAAGAGGAGTGATAATATCCTAGATACTACGCAGATCTGTTGAATGGTTGAATTCAGTTTCATCAGCATTTGTTTGTTGAGAGCATTTCATGTCTGACCCACTGAGCATACCCCTCCATTTTTGGTAAAACATTTTCAACAAGCAAACTCTTTGCAGTCTTAAAGTTAGACTTTTTGAACACATAACTCTCCACTTAGTCACTAGAGGCATTTTCTTAAAAAACAGTTTTTTCTTGGGAGGACAATCTCCATCTTGTGCTACTGTATGAACAAGCTGTGATTTGGTCCTACTTGTAGAGCAATATTGTGGCATTTATACATTTTAAAGCTTTAAAAACCTTTCAAGACTTCTTCATATTTGCTTTCTTTATGAAGTAGTTATACTTGAATTTAACAAGTTAAAGTTAAAAGCATCAGCATGTAGATTGTGTCATCCATATGAAGTGCATGATGACCCTATTTCTATTTATCTCCTCAACCACAGTGGATGTAAAGCTGGACCCAACCACAGCCCACCAGTGCCTTGTGCTTTCCCCCGATGGAAAGACAGTTAGAGATGGAGGAAATGACCAAAAAGTACCCGATGCTCCGCAGAGGTTCGACGTGTTGGGCAGCATCCTGGGGCTCAACAGGTTGACTTCTGGGAAGTCATACTGGGAGGTGGAGGTCACTAACAAGTCGGGGTGGGACCTGGGTGTGGCACGACGCAATGCAAATCGCAAGGGGAAACTCTCGGTGAACTCGGAGAACGGTTACTGGGTAGTCGTGCATTACGAAGACAAAAAGTACGCAGCCCTGACAGTACCACCAGTCAGCCTCCCCCTGAAAGAGAAACCTGAAAAGGTTGGAGTGTTTGTGGATTACGAGGAACGTCTCGTGTCCTTCTACAATGTGATGGCTCAATCTCACATCTACACGTTTACCGAGTGCATGTTCAGCGATCTGATTCTTCCATATTTCAGTCCACATCCTAAACAAAATGAGAAAAACTCCTATCCTCTGATTATCTCTCCTGTGAAGAAGCAGTTGTAGTTATATGAAGCGAATAGTTATCGGTGCACTAAAAGTTAAAGGGGACCTATCATGCAAAGTTAACTTTTTTATGTATTTTATACATAAATATGTGTAAAGTTCGCAAATATTTTAAAAACGGTGGTACAACGAGCGGATACAGATTCGCTGCTGATATGACGTCAAATCGGCGGCGGACCCACAGAAAGTTGCCATCAGAAACAATGCCTGACGTGTTTTGGACGTAAATTCGTCTTTGTTTACATTAGCAAGCCTCGCTAACACTCAGAGCTAACCTGTACTGTAGAGCACATGTGTTTAAAAAGCAGGATATAAAAAAAGGAACTCACCTTGACGCCAAGAGAAAACGCATTTGAGCTCCATACTGTTTCAGAAATAATCCTTGATGTGGTTTAGAATAGGATGGCGTTTTATCACAGCAGAATTTAACTTTATCTCCGGTAGAATTCTGATCAGGCATTAGCTCCGCCTCCTCTTTCTTTTCTTTTTTTAAGCTAAGGACCCAAAATCCGTGTTTCTCTAACAAGGCTGCAAAAGAGGGGTATGAGCAGTATGAGGCATGGCTACAACGGGTGATCTGTTTGGTATTTTAAGCAAAAAACTTCACAGACATGTTTTGTATAGGTATGGCCCTACAATATATTTTCCAATATAGCATAATAGGTCCACTTGCACCACTCACTGTAAATATCAGTTCAGGTGTACATGATATTTAATGAGACTACCAAAGGGTTTAAATCTAGGGTTTTGGCCTGGCCATCTGAGATAGTCTACGATCAGTTTTACGTGTTAAATAGTTAGAATTTAAACTTTTAAAACGATTAGTGTGTGTACCTACATTATCCTTAATGATATTTTAATAATTTCCTAAGCCTTGAATAATCAGTAACAGTTTGTTCACTTCGGTCTCTTCTAACAACCCGTTAGAAGAGACCGAAGTGAACAAACTGTAGGCTATCCCCTTTCGGTATGAGTCAGAATGGTCGCTCCTGCTAGCTGTCATAAATGGACTCTTCCAGTTTTCAGGTACATTTTTGAAGTTACACTTTTTACATCTTGTTCGTTTCTAACTATATATTTTAACTAAATGGAGAATTTCTGTTTTCAGACATGTGTATCTTAAAGATCAAATGCAAAGCTTTTTGTATAATTGCCAGTACAATCGAAATCATATAGCTACAACACTATCTAAGATATTGCAGTATTAAAATCGGAGATAATATGAGTCTGGCAATGCGCAATATTAATTTTGTTCAACCCCCAACACCAAGTCCGACGATTTATTTTCTCCGCCGCTCCTCCGCAAGATGGCGGCGCGTGACGTCAGATGTGCCAAACATATTTCCACCTGGCTTATCAATCACAGCGGCTTCCGCCGATAGTACAACTAGTTTCGTCTATCATGTCTGATTCTGAGTAGACTATAGACTAAAAGCTTTAGGAATCCAAACTATAACATATAATAAGTACCCTGTATCAAGATTGATGCAAAACAAGTGAAATTTGACCTTTTTAGAGCGGTTTAGAAAAATAAAGTCCAGGCGCTCTGAGTGAGCCTCTGAATTAGCCCCGAGCGAAAAATGCTCGCAGCGGCTCACAGCGGCTTCCGCCGATAGTACAACTTAGTTTCGTCTATCATGTCTGATTCTGAGTCGGAGGACACCCAATATCTGGAGTATGTTGTCGACATCGAACCATATCTATACGAGCCTCTGATGTCGAAGAGGAAATACAAGGAAACGTCACCAGATATCACCGATGAAAGTGCTGATGGCGATGATTCAAGTTTGCCATCTGAGGAAGAGGCCGAGGGTGCTGAGAATTGGTGTAGATGTGGAAACTGCCAGACCATGCCTACAAGCCGAGAAAACAAGTGCTGCCACAACTATGGGAAAGTGAAGGAAGAGATGGGAGAAGAAGTCTGCATCACCGACTGTAGGACGTTCGACATTTTCCGTTAGGAGTGGAGGAGCGATGAATGAGCTGCAGATAAACTACAATGCTAACAGTGAATTAGCCCCGAGCGAAAAATGCTAACCTATCACTCCTAGCGCCCTTATTACTTATCCTAGCTCCACATCCAACACATTGTTTATGATCGTAAAGACACAGAATCTAACGGTGCCCACCTCTATAAGCAATAAAACTGCAATTCCGTTATCTGCTGTGCTCCGTGCGCTTTGAAATCTAATCAAACGTTGTTTACCTCAATTCTTTGGCGTTTCTGCATCGCCCGGCTCTTTCGTTCTTTCAGTGGTTTCTTGTGCTGAAATATGGAGGGGACGGCTCCGGGTTTCAGCCTCCGACGTGCTATTAATGCTTCTGCACCAACAGACTTGATGATAGCAGGATCAACCTCGTATGCATCACACGTGAAGTGATCAGAACACAACCTGCTCCATTTTGTCGGTTGCCAGCCAACACGATTCACTAACAAAATCCATTTTTTGCGGATGATTTGGTCTTTGGGAAATACATGAAAAACTCTCCCAGATCCCGCACCGTTCGTACAACAAAAAGCACAACAATAACCCATGTTAATTCAGTTTTCTTGTCGAAAAACTTGTGACCGAGACTGCCGAGTCGGGATGTTTGGTCCAGAGACTGTTTGGCATGTATGACGTCACGCGCGCGGAGGCTGCTGGGGAGGTCATGTCAGAAATTCAGACGGCTTTGGGTCAAGTTTTGTATCCATAAAAAGCTTTTTTTCGGGTGTATTATCTCGATTTAATTTTTTTTTTAAATACAGGCAGTCTTAAAAACAACATTTCTATAAAAATGTAGCATATTTGGAAGCTTTGCATTTGATCTTTAAGCTAACAGACACACTAGCTAAGCTAACATTAGCAGGAGCAGAATAGCATCCGAAAACCAATTTTTTTAACTTCAAACTTTAATCTGTGTTTCCATCGGTCATTATAACAAGCACTGTTTATTGTTTAGAGTAGGAGACCATATACAGACCAGTTCACTCACCTTTAAATCCTCATGAACAGGATCTTAGAATGATCAGACAAACAGAATAAGCTAATGTTAGCGGTTAGCTTGCAACCACACAGATGGATTTCATGTTTTGTATGCAAAATCCACATTTTGGAAGTACCTTTAGCTGTCAACTGCTTCGACTAAAAAGTATAACATTTGTATTAAGTGCAATGCAATAGAAAATGTACTTGTTTACATTCTACCACTTATCTTTACTTGATATAACCCCTAACTCTTGCACACTGTATTTTCTTTATTTTTTAAATTACATTTTACAGATCCTTTTTTGTAGTTCCAGATTATCTGTTACACCGCCATGCATGACTCTCTCTACATATAACTATTGACGGTTATAACAAAATGTTTTATGCTATTAAGCGAGAAGACATTATTACAAGTTATATTTGGGAAACTTTTTATACATCTCTTCAGGGGTCTTGTAAAAACTAAAGCAATAAAACATGATTGACGTTATATTTGTTGATGTACCAAGGTCCTTTAAAGGGAAGTGCTCTCAGTCCGGTCGACTTCGAGCTGACATAACTACCAAATTAAGTCATATTAAGGAAGGCATTTTAATACTCTTTATTGTATTAGGAACAGTCTTGTGTGTCATTACATTGAAAATGTCATTGTGATGGATAAATACATTTTTAAATGTGTTTATGTCTTGTAATTGCATTGAGGAATCTGTGACTCAAGTTATTAATTCATTACAGGTTAAGCTTTGTATATGATATGACATTAAACCTTTTGAATCTTGAATATAGTGAGCTCAGATATTCATCCACCCTCAAGCAAAAAGGACTACAGATTCTCACATTTCAATGACCAAAAAACCACTGAAGGTTGTATGATAGTCGCTTCCCCAAACATACGTCTTTGCAAGCAGATGCACATACACTTGGTCTAGTTGATTCAGCTGCAGGAACACTGTGTTTCCTTCATTATCAGCCTTATCAGAGATGGTTGAGAAATCATGGGTCATGATCATTAATTGATTGTTCATGTAGAGCTGTAACTTAAATTAAACTCACTTAGTGTGATGTCTCCATCCAGCATGCAAGAAGATGGTAAAGTAATAAACACCTTTAACTGGGGCAACAAAGACACCTGTGGAAACAACAGGGTGTTGGTTCAATTAGTCAAAAAGTCAAATCACAAACCATCAGTGGTCATTCAACACGTTTGTAGACGTCTAACCAGGATGGAAAATGTATTACCTGTGGATGGACTGTAGGCACCACCAATGTTTGTAATCAAGGTTTTGTAGATCAAAATGATGTCTGTGTTGAAGGGTCCAATGTCTTTATCTCCTCCTCCTGTTGCTGCACTGAATATGACCGTCTCAGTTTCTGTACAAAGACACATCTCATTATCATTTACATTTTGCGTAGCATTTCAACAATTTTCCATTGGATAATCCGAACATAATTCTACCGAGAGGTCTTTAAATGAATCAGAACAAAAGTTTCACTTTACCTTTGTTCATCAGTCCAAGAGTCTGGTTTTCAGTGTCCATCAGTCTCGTTTCAGTGTCCTTCAGCCTCGTTTCACTATCTTCCATCCTGGTCTCCATAACTCTTAATTTCTCACTTACTGCATCAAACTCTCTCTGGAGGTTGCACATGTCAGGAAAGCATCCCTGTGTTTCTAAGTGACTTCCTAATATAGTAGTATTACCATCATTATTGGCCGAAATAAGGCCGCAAAACAGCGACAGAATCAGTAAATTGATCAAACTTATCTTCCAAGTTGATACACCGTCAATAAATCCCCAAAACTCTGAATGATCCCTCTGGCTGGCTGCTTTTATATGGTTTATAGAGACCTGTTAATGTTTAACATCAGCTTTGAAACAAGGCTTTTCTTGCAATGAGAACAAAAAGTATTCACTGCATTTTTTGGCAATCAGTTAATCAATGGCCTCCTAGAGGAATGTTAACAAAAATGTGTCCATGTACAGTTACAAGGTCTTTATTGCCGAAACTAAGGTGATGCATGACACTGAATGGGTTAATTTTGCAATAACAAACCTGTATAATTAACCAACTTATTACATGGCTGCTTAAAGAATAACTTAATAATTTCCCCGAAATATACATGTTCAGTCTGTGAGATGAACCCTTACAATGTAATCTAAAATCTAGCGTTACAGCATACAAAACTATCTGTCCTTATAGACCCTTAGAGAGGAAACCCCACGGTTAAAAGGGATGGAAGATACCTCGGGGACAACAGCAAAAGAGGGAATTAATCTCCAAGGACGGACAGACAACAGACGTGCAATATGAGTTTTGTGCAACAGACAATCCGAATGAGAAAAATTATAATTTGAATGTATATTAAAACAAAGAAAGATCCAGTAAGATCGTCCAAGTAGCATAGCATTGCTAGCTTTATAAACCCTTACCTGCCAAACAAACAGTTTTTAAGCTTTTAGACAAACTGATATTTAGTTAAAACACTTTTTCAGGCAAGAAAATAATAACTTAGATTACCATTATGTCATTAGTTTCTCCAAACAACTGCAAACAAAGCACATCATTACTTTCACTGCCAGAACGGTGGAACTGCAAGTTTAACCATAGTGGGCCAATAGGTTACTAAGATGACCATCAAGGACCTTGTAGGATTTTAAAAAATAATTAAAAATTCTCTTCAGCTTAGTTAACTTTTGCATTGTCTTGCAATGCTGGCACATTTAAGGCTTTTGAAAAACTGGCAATTTAGATTTTAAGGACCCAGTACTAGGTGAGATGCTACAGAAAATGTACAGACAAGCGACAAGGAATGAGGATATAATAAATGACTTGTTAACAATCATTGATTTTAATTCTTGATACTACAGAGTGATACTGTGGAGCTAAAACATTAATTCAAACAACAAATGAATGCATGTGTGTTCCCTTTGTTTTCACCTTTGCAGAGAATGTAATATACATGTATACACTAGTGTAGATTTAAAATAAAAAGTAAGAATGATAGAAGTAAAATATATGGAGTAGGGCTGATTGTTTGAATCTGATGGAGCTTCAAATGTAAAGGCACAATGCCCTATTTCTGCAGATATTCTGAAAAAGGACTGCCAACTTTGCAACATATGGATCACAATAAATCAATAATGAATGAAGACATTTCTTTAGACTTTTTATTGTATGAGCAACAACTTTCTGTCATTACATTTTAACATGTCATGTTAGATGTTTGGAGAGCTCAGACTTTGTCAGCCACCCTCAAGCAGGAATGACTACAGAGATCAGATTCTCACATTTCAGTGACCAAAAAACCACTGAAGGTTGTATGATAGTCGCCTCCCCAAACATGCGTGTTTGCACCCAGCTGCACATACACCTGGTCTCCTTGAACAAGCTGCAGGAACACTGCGTTTCCTCCATTATCAGCTGTGTCAAAGGTTGAAGGGTGTTCCTGGGTCATGACCACTAACTCATTGTTCTTGTAGAGCCATAATAGAGTTGCATATTTCCCTCCAGCATGAAAGAAGATGGTAAAGTAATAAACACCTGCAACCGGGGCAACGAAGACACCTGTGAAAACAACAGGGTGTTGGTCACATTTCTTTTGATTAAAAAGTATTATCACAAACCATCAGTATTCTTAAGCATTCAATACATTTTTCCACCTGTATTTTATCAGTCAGGATGGAAGTCTTCTTTTTTTTCTTGATTCTTGTTGTAACATAGAAGCTGGTAATTAACAGCATGCAGGTGACTGAGTTACCTGTGGATGGACTGTAGGCATCACCAATGTTTGTAATCGCAGTTCTGTAGATAAAAGTTGTGTTTGTATTGAAGGGTCCACATTTTCCTCCTCCTGTTGCTGCACTGAATATCACTGTTTTCTTTTCTATACAAAGCAAAACATTGTAATCACATTATTGTTATTTGTTGTATTTTCACACTTTTCCAGTTGTTAACTTCATCACAAAACATTCTACACTAAAGTCTATAAATCTTCCCGGGTAAAAGTTTCACTCTACCTTTGCTCTTCAGTTCAAGAATCTGGTTTTCACTCTCCTTCAGTCTGGTTTCCATAGCCTTTAGTTTCTCAATTACTTCACAAGCATTGCATGACTGTGTACCACTGGCATTATCATCGTCCTGGGCCAAAATTAAGCCACTAAACAGCGACACAATCAGCACAATGGTCAATCTCATTTTGTAAGTTGATTCAACGTCGCTTAGTCCCCTGAACTTTAAATGATGTGATCCCTCTGGCTGCTTTTATGTTGTTTAAAGTGACCTGTTAATGTTTAACATCAGTTTTGATAAAATAATTATTTTGCAATAAGAAAATAGTATTGACCGCATTTCCTGGCAATCCGTTAATCATTGACAGCCGAGAGAAATGTTAACAAAAACAAATCGCTTCAACCCGACATCCCTTTATCCCTCCCTTCCCTTAACCCTATATCTGCTCATCCACTCTAAGTGGATTATGGTCAGGCACATAAACAGAACGCAGACTTCAGATATGACTAATGACATGCAGCACAAACAACATAAAACATTGTGTCTGCATCTAGAAAAATCAAATCCCTATTCACTCTTTTCTGGAAATTATTTTGACCAAAAACACTAAAGTTGGTGTCATTGATTCCCCAAACATTTGTATTTGCACTTAACCCTTGTGTTATGTTCACATTTCGCACCCTTTGGTAATGTTCGGGTCAAATTCACCCGGGACATATTTCAGGGTTTAAAAAAAATACAGAACTAAATTCAACATGCACAATTCCTTATGTCTTTAACTCATTCCCCAACAATATAAATGAAATATATGATTAGTTTTTGAAAATACTCTTTGCTGGATCAAATGTAACAATGGAAGTGTCCATCGTTTTTTGTGATACAAATTTAAGTTAAAAAAAAATACACTAATAAAAACTAGGTTTACATTTTGCTCATGCTTTTCTAGGACTAATGTAAATGAAACATTTTTTCATTAATGTTTATTATTTTTAATCTGTCATATAATAATCAAAGCCCCGAAGGAAATAAAGCAATTTATCAGCAATTGGAACACAAGAACCACACAGCCAAAAGTATTTGGCTGTGAAATATAGAGGGAATGAAACATCCATATAAATGACATAGCACAGATATAAACACAAAGCAAATAAAAACAATTAACAGTCACTATTCATAAAATACAGTATATCCGAAAACTATATTGATGAAGTGACGCTGCAGAACATCATGTGAGTCAATGGGCAAGTCCGTTTAGGAAACACATGATGTGCAGAACTTCTTCGTTGACACGAAGGACTCACAAAGACTCAAATGCACGATTCTTCCTTGATTTAAAAAATACCTTTTATTATCCAAAAAAGGGTTTCTAGGATCTACTAGGACTACTAAATAGTTCACTAGGTTCGACTAGCTCAAAGTGTGCATGAGAGAGTACAGACATGGACTTGGTAGACAAGACGAACCGACAAAAGACAACAGGAGAACAGGGCTACATATACACAACAGTTAATGAGGCACAGGTGCAAACAATCCAGAACAGGAGATCACAATCAAGCTGGCAAGTGACACACAACGACAGGAAGTGATGACACCTGAAACGAGAGGACAGAGCCAACATCAAAATAAACTGCAAGGCCACCAGAATAAACACAAAACAATAAGCTCACAGACTAACGCTGAAACCTTACATTCGTGGGTATAGCACAGATGTACTTGTTGCAGTTGCTGCATGTAGTCTGTGTCTTTGAGTCCTTTGAGGGTCCACAGACCTCACAGCTGGCTGTGGGGGTCTTTCAGAAGCTGACTGTGGGGGTCTTCTTGCGGCTGGCTGTGGGGGCCTTCCAGCAGCTGTCTCTGAGTCAAGTTCATCTTCCAATTTGCTGTCAAATTCTGAGTTTACCTCCACATTATCCTCATCTTCAGAAATGTCTTCCTGCACTTCACCGTGTTCTTCTAATACATTCCACTCACTCTCATCCATTATTAGCTCCAAGGCTCTCTGAGCAACACACTCTCACTCCCTAAGCGTCCAGGAGCGACGTTTGGTCAGTGTCCGTGGCGTCCAGTTGTGACGCTCCTAGGCTCCTTCAGCGTCATAAAGGGACGCAAATAGCTTTCAACTGATTGCAATGTATTCCCATCTGCGGCGGGATTTGACGCTCATGGAAGCACGGCATTCGTTTGTGTCGGCTGCCCTTAAAGGCAATGTGAGCGTCCATTCCCATTGGATAACGCAGAATTGTACACCCGGAAGTAAGTATTCCTCTTACTGTCGATTGATTTTACAGTGATATCTGCACTACTCATCGACTAAAAAACACCAGATTATCCTTGTTAATTACCCAACATTGATTGGTTTAAATTGTGTGCAATGCTTTTGTATTTTTCCCCTTCGATTCGGAGAAACAAATATTTGTTCTGAGTAAAGGATGGCAGAAGACACTCTCTGTTGCTCTGTTTGACAAACCCGTGATAGTCCTCAAGCTCTGTGATTGGAGAGTGTGCTCCGAGGGTTACGCCGATTCTCGAACAGCACTTGAAATGGGATGGAACCACGGCAGACTGTCCAAAACTGGATTTGAACGGGGCTCACATTGCCTTTAAGGGCAGCCGACACAAACGAATGCCGTGCTTCCATGAGCGTCAAATCCCGCCGCAGATGGGAATACATTGCAATCAGTTGAAAGCTATTTGCGTCCCTTTATGACGCTGAAGGAGCCAAGGAGCGTCACAACTGGACGCCACGGACACTGACCAAACGTCGCTCCTGGACGCTTAGGGAGTGAGAGTGTGTTGCTCTGAGCAGAATATATTTTGGCCATTTTGCTGGTAGATAATTGTAGTTCTGCACTACACTGTAATGTGAGGTTATGTCTCTGTTTAGTCCCTCCTCCGGCGTGCAGGTTCGAGGGGGACAGTGCGAGACAAATTTAAAATGTTTATACATTTCTGGAAGATCTAAAATGTTTATAATGTTCTAGGATAGTTTTGTGTACACACTACGAAGGGTAAATATCAAGGGAAAACAGGATCAAACAGCTTCTCTGTGCATACGATTGTGTGTGTGTGTGTGTGTGTGTGTGTGTGTGTGTGTGTGTGTGTGTGTGTGTGTGTGTGTGTGTGTGTGTGTGTGTGTATATATGTATGTGTGTGTGTGTGTCTTTAGTTTGTGTGTTTCTGTGTGTGTATCGAAAATATCCTTATATATTTTTGTATTCATTGAAAATGGAAATCGGGTAAATTTGACACAAGGGTTAAGTTCACAAACAACTAGTCCTGTGTCTGTCTACAGATGCATGAACCCTGCATTTGCCCAGTTATCTGCTCCATCATGCAATGTGCTGTGGTCAAAGGTCGGCACAATATGCTGATTTCTCTCAAGGTGAGTTAGTTTTACGTGGATATGTCATTTGCAACATATTAAAAGTGCATTGATACCTGTGGAAATATTAGTTCTGACACAGCTTTGAGACATAACTTCTTTACTTCGACTACAAAACCAGTGCAATTCTTCGTCTGGGCAATACTCTGCATTATTCTACAACTGTACAGTTCAAAGCACAGATTAGTCTGAAGGGAATGACCTTGGTTTGCAGGTAGGCGACTTGGCCTGCCTTTGCAAACAAAACAAACAAAAACAAAACAAAACAAAAGCTATGAGAATCATTTCTATCCAGTTGGGTTGACTCTTTCCTTTTGTTGCCGTACTGAATAAAATCAAACTGTTAACTGTCCATTTTTAACAGTTGCTTTAGATATCCTGGGTAAAAAAATAAAAGTCACGGTGAACTTTGCAGCATAAAGAACTTAACAAAGCAATCACTAAAGAAGGCATTTTCAGACTCTTTATTGTTTGAGCAACAGCTTTGTGTTTCATTACATTTGAACATTTCATGTTAATAGATGTTTGGAGAGCTCAGACTTTCTGACAACAGACAGAAACCACATTCCATCAAAGGAAGAGGGAACCCTTAATCGTCCCACAGAGGGGACATTTACCATCATTTGACTTAGTGTTAGGAGCAGTGGGCTGCCTTATGAACAGCGCCCGGGGAGCAGTGTAGGGAACGGTGCCTTGCTCAGGGACACCTCTGTAGCACTTGGTCTTTCAGGGACTTGAACCGGTGACCTTTCGTGTCCCAAAACACAGACTTCTCCACCACCCGCCCCAAGATAAAGTTGATGCAAGGACACAGGGTTCATTTTCTTGTGAAAGCTGACGATTACTGCCTCAGAGAAACTTGTTCGTGAACATTATTGAGTAAGAGTGTTGTTTTGGAGCTGTTCACTGTCCTTTAGACCAAATATGGTATTCTTAGTCAAGTTGTCCTGACCCCCCTCAACCCCAATGCTGACTTCTGACAGGGAAGTTGATGGTTTTATCAATAATAAAGATCAACCATGTCAGGATGACAGGCAGATTGTGGGCCAATTAAAGGCTGACCATAAACAAGAAAATAAGTATCTTTAAGATCTCTCCTACGAGCTCAACGGTTAATCTGTAACATCAACTGCTCTCCAACTTCTGCAAAAGCTCACTATTTCCAGCTAAACGTTACGAAACCCCACTTTACAGCTGTCATTCTGCAAGATGGGGTTGCAAAACCAAATGCAGATATAACTTTTCATGTATAAAAAAGTAGTAATTCCTGCTGGGTATTTTTTTGCATACAGATCCAACAACAACAACAAATATTATTTTACAAGACTGTCTTTGGGTTGTTCCCCATTATTGTGACGACTGGGAGCAATTTCCTCACCAAATCATGGAGTTTGAATATCCTGGGGTCATGATGAGGATAGTTGGAGTGCGAAATCGACAGGTGAATTGGTTTGGCTTCTGTCGTGGTGGGAGCGTTGCACTCAACAGTTTTGGGGAATATAAAGCTAGCTGAGCCAGAAGGCAAAGATTTTAACTTTCCCATTGATCAACGTTCCAATCCCAACCCGGACCCCAACCCTAACCCTTCCAACCATTAACAACGGTCATGGTATTTTGGTCGTGACGGGCTCACCTCAAAGGGGCTTAGACCTCAGGAAGGAGCTCATATCTCAATGAGCTTGGGAACGCCTCGGTATTCCTCTGCAAATCTTGCTGGGGAAAGGGCCTGTTTTTCTTACCATTTTAACTACGTGACAAGGCGAGGGATAAGAGGAACCCAGTATTTGTGTGTCTTTCACGAGAACAAAGTGACTCAGCTTGTTTGAGAAGATGAAGATCAAGGCTACTTCCTCTTTAGAAACTACTAAAGCAGCTCCATCCAGCTGAGGATTCAATCGTCCAGCTGACTGATCGAAGTGGAACAGATCTCTGCTCGCTCGCCTACAAACACGTAAGTCATAAAAACATATTGAAGAATATATGTTGTGTTTTAATTGATACATTAATACAATTAATACATTATTGTATTTTCATACATTAACGTCTTACTTTTATATTTCTCGTTCTCCCGCTCTAGACAAGATGACCATCGCTGTCTTTATCATCTTCATGGCCACTCTTGCCCTTGTTGATGGTTTAAATTGTCTGACAGACACAAATAAAGATCCGCACGACGAATTTCTTTGCAGATACACCCTTCGGCAAACATTTAACAGAACAGATTGGACTGAATGGAAAAGGTGAGTTAAATGGTTAAGTCAATGCGTTTATTTAGAAATGCATTTGCATAAGATGGAGATTGATATTAACTGCATTTAAAGGCAGGACTGTTTCATTTAGGTACCACACTACTGATTCAGTCATAAGTGTTGTACTTTATCAATGCCATTTACTCTTCAGTGAAACAATGATCTTATTAAACAGGTACCTAACGAGGGTTGGCCTCTGCAATACACCAAGTCACACCTTCATGGACAACTCGGATCTCTTGGCCTGGGAGATCTGTCAAAGCTCTAGATGTGATAAAAATGGGAAATTATGTACCAGTAAGAACCGCATGACCCTGTACTATGTCGAAAACAACCCCGACTGCACACTTACGTCTGTAAATCAACAACGACTCTATGGGATTGTGACTTGTGAGAGACTTGGTAAATATTGCAAACCTGTCGATTTTAGGAGATCTGTCCACAAATACACACAGTGGGTTGCTAAGCCCTGTCAATAATAGAAAAGTTAAAACGTTTTTAGAGGCGTTAGAAGACATTGGAGTCCAGTTCTAAACCTCTGTCAAGCTTAGCTTAATTAGGCCTTTTTTGCTTACATGAAAACATGTTATTTTGTTCTTATGCTGCATTATAACACCTGTTACTTGTTGACCTCGGTCATTATAACTTGTGGCTACATGGGATTAACATCTAGATTCTCGGCTATTTTCAATGTAATCAGAAACTGTACACACACCTGTTTGTTGAAAGTTTATTGTCATCTTACCTCAAAGTGAATTGGTTGATTGTCTATAGTAAACTGTCGGTTATCATCTTTTATAACGTGTCAATTCAGATAATTGTCAGTCCGTGAAAAACTATCAAACTAGACTAAGCGTTATTTGACCCAAAAAGGTCTCACATCAAAGGATCGACCAAAGCACCATAACAAGTTTCCTTTCTTAGAGTTTAATATTCCCCACAGCTGTGTGTACTTTCTCTGTTACTGAAAGTGTTTGTGAAGCTGTATTCAAATCCTGTTTGTGTTGCTCTAAATATTGTCAAATAAATGGCTTGAAGCATCAATCAATATTCTCACGAGTAATATGTACTTTTGTGCGATACAGAAACATTTCCACCTCTTCATTTAGTAGTTTTCTGACTTTCAGCTCATTGTTTTAGTGTTAAGGCAAATGTAAGTACAACAGAGAAAGTAGAAACTATTTGATGAACACTGTCAAGCCTTAACCTTGGTTTATTGTTCAAAAAATATGATAATAATATTTTCATATTTTAGATGTAAGACTAAAGATTAATGGTGACAATTTGTTTGTAATATGAATCGTTTGGCTGCTTTTATTTGTTTTTAAATGATGACTTTTTAATTATTTACATCCCCTTTGAAACAAGGCTCATGTTGCAATGAGGAAATAGTATTTACTTCATATTCTGCCAGGTAACCAATCAGCGTTATTATCCAGGTAATAGAAAATAAGGAAATACTAATATATGTTCTGGAAAATGAATGTTATCATTAATATGGAGTCAAAGATTGAAAATGTTTCAGTATTACAGTGACCTCACTAAACAGATATGTATTGCACCTTTCAACAACATGGCAATTCAAAAGACTGAAAGGGTGTAAGAAATTAAAGACAAGTAACTAAGGGCGACTCAAAAGAAAAATGTATACCCAAAATCATTTAACATTATTCTCCTGATCATCAAAATGGATGCCAAAGGTGACAGAAGTGTGAATATTAATCAAAGATGACATGGACGGTATATTTCTCAACCGGCTGCAGAGAGAAAGGCTGAAGATGAAGACGATGAAGTTGGCCTCCAAAGCACCGGGTCCATGTTATCGCTCATGGACGTTTTGGTTCACAGTTTTTACCTCAACAGGCACAAACCACATTCCAGCTGATGAGGTTTAATGCAAGGACCCCAGGTTCAACTTCTTGTGAGGAACTGACGCTTTCTGCTTGAGAGGAACTTGTTCTTGAATATTTTCACAGATTATGGTTTCAGATTATGATTTCCTGCTCTGTTGCTGTGAAGTTGCAGAGGCACTCTTTTATAAGCAAGATAAATAACATTGCTATTGGAATTTACACTTCTACAATACTAGAAGTGAGTGAGAAATATTTGGAAAAAGAAGAAGAAAAGTGTCAGCATGTGACAAACACTGTATGTATGTAAAGGAGGGGGGAGGGGGGGAAATGTAGGAAGAGAGAAAGGGTTCTTCTAAATCGGGTAGAGAGCGTGATGGGCAATCAAGAGCCAAACTACTCAAGTTTAAAAGGTTAAAATAATTTATTATTGGACATAAAAACTTTAGTAAAAACTAAAACTACACAATCAAAACAATGTCACAAGCGAAAAGGGCTTAAAAGTATTTTATTTAACATCCAGGCTCACGATGAGGGGGGAACACTTCTGCACACCGCCCGCTCCTCCAGCTCGGCTCCCACTCTAAAAACAGACAAACAGCATTCACTTGTCTTTTAAGGACAAATCAGGTCTTTCGTTGGACAGTAGTTACTCACGAAATAAGGGCTCTAAACTCTGCCCTCTTCTGTCCTTGGCTTCACGCTCTGGACTGCCGTTTGTCTCTTGATATGTTCTCTCTGCTCGGCTGCGTCTCCTCCTGTCTTCTTCCTTTGTGCTCCTGCTCTCCTGGGTTCTCTCTCCACTTATAGGTCGGCCATGATTGGCCCCAGGTGCTGCTAATCGTCCCAGTCATCATGGTGGAAGTAGGTTAAAACATTTCAGAATAAAAGCATGCTTAAAAGTAAAACCAGATAAACTTCAACAGTGCAAACACTTCAGAATAAAAGCACACAATAAAATCATAATAAAAAGTATGAAACACACAAAAACCAAGCAATATAATTAAAATACTTCACCATGTGACATACACACCTGGTATTTCCTCACACACAGTAGGTAATGCTTATGGGTTTCCATCTGTGGCACCTGTGACATCTTTGGTCAACACTTGATGGCAGACTTTCTTCATTTACTGTCTATCATTACTACAGAACCCATTGTTTATAAGTCCTGTGCTATTAGGCCTTTTATTAACATATGCCCAATTGGACATTCCTCATAAAATTGCACTTATAATCAGATATTGTCCATCCAGATGTTATTACAATCATCACCGGTGCTATGCTCACAGCATATGATCACTGGTTCATTAATGTATAGGTTATTTAAAATCTGCACATTAAGCTTCAGTAAAAACACCAGGAGAGACCATGAGAAAAGAAAGAGACACATATTTATTTCTCTAGGTATCCTTAACCATGTGTTAATGCATTTTTCTCTAAAAGTAAATGTAGCAGGTTTCATTTCACCACATATCTATATTTCATGTAACATAAACATTTAGTTTTCACTGTTTTTACTTCTCGTCTGTTAAATCATTTTATCATCATGAGTCTCTAAATGTTTCTGTCTACTGATGATCAAGTTATGTATTTAATTCCCTTATTCAACATGTCTTAAGGTATAAAGTGAGAGGACATAGGGTTAGGGATCATTTATTATTATTAAGGGTTATAGAGCTATTTTCTAGATATTTTCAGAGGTTTGTTAAAAAATAAATAATAAAACATGATGGATGTTGTGTTTCTTTATGTGCCAAGATCCTTTAAGGGACAGAGTCCAGTGAATCTCTATCTGAAACAACTCGAGCCACCTTTGCCAGTTTGAGATGAAGCAGGTGAGTTTTGAATACTGTAATGCAAATAGGTTCGCTAGTATCAAAGTAGCACTTCTTGACATTTGAATAAATGGGACCTTCTCCACGTCTTTGTTTCTCGCTCCATGTGTCTTCCACTGATGCATTATCAGGGAGGTTAGACATCTAAGTTGAGAGGTTGTTGCAATGAGATGGAGCTTTGAATTGAAAGGCACAACACTCAATATATTAAGATATTCAGGAAACAGAAAACAAGAAACTCACTGTCAACTTTGCAGCATAATGAATTTATTAAAGCAATGATTGAAGAAGACATTGTTAGACTTGATTTTATGATTTAATGAGCAACAGCTTTGTGTTTCATTACATTTGAACATGTCATGGTGTTAGATATTCAGTTTAAAGAGAGCTCAGAACTTTGTCAGCCCCCCTCAAGCAGGAATGACTACAGAAATACAGATTCTCACATTTCAGTGACCAAAAAACCACTGAAGGTTGTATGATGGTCGGTCCCCCAAACATGCGTGTTTGCAAGCAGGCGCACGTACACCTGGTCTCCTTGAACAAGCTGCAGGAACACTGCGTTTCCTCCATTGTCAGCCCGGTCAGAGGTTGAAGGGAAATCATGTGTATATATAATCAACTCATTGTTCTTGTAGAGCAGTAACTTAGTGCCATGGTCCCATCCAGCATGAAAGAAGATGGTGAAGTAATAAACACCTGGAACCGGGGGCAACAAAGACACCTGTGGAAACAACAGGGTGTTGGTCACATCAATGCATTTTAAGACCTCTAAACAGGATGGGAGTAGTATTACCTGTGGATGGACTGTAGGCACCACCAATGTTTGTAATCAAGGTCCTGTAGATTAAAGTTGTGTCTGTGTTGAAGGGTCCAATGTGATTCTCTCCTCCTCCTGTTGCTGCACTGAATACGACCGTCTTCTTTTCTATACAAAGCAAAACAGTGTAACCATATTATTATTATTGTAATTATTATTTTGTGCAGTATTTACTTATTTTTTTAATCACCCAACATTATTTTACACTGATACCTTTTAATCGTAAAGTTTGACTTTACCTTTGTTCAGTTCAAGAATCTGTTTTTCACGCTCCGTCAGTCTGGTTTCGGTGTCCTTCAGTCTGGTTTCAGTGTCCTTCAGTCTCGTTTCAGTGTCCATCAGCCTTGTTTCACTATCTTCCATCCTGGTCTCCATAACTCTTAATTTCTCACTTACTGCACTAAACTCTCTCAGGAGTTTGCACATGTCAGGAAAGCATTCCTTTGTATCATGATGATAATCTAATATAGTAGTATTACCATCATCCTGGGCTGAAATCAGGCCGCAAAACAGCGACACAATCAGTAAAATGGTCAAACTCATCTTCAAGTTGATACAAAGTCGCTCAGTCCCCGAACTCTGAATGATGGGATCCCTCTGGCTGCTTTATATGTTTATAAATCATGACTTGTTAATTATTTACACCCCCTTTGAAACAAGATTCATGTTGCAATGAGGAAAGAGTATTTACTTCATCTTCTGCCAGGTAACCAATCAGCTTTATTATCCTATCATAAAGCAGGCGATAGAAAATAAGGAAATAGTAACATTTAAAATGAATGTGTTGGGGTCAAAGATTGAAAACGTCCCAGTTTTACAATGTTCTTACAAGACAGATTTATTTGAATTGCACCTTTCAACAACAGGGCAATTCAAAAGACTGAAAGGTATAAGACATTTAAGAAAGGTATTGCAAACAAGTAAAACAAGGCGGCTGAGAAGAAAGAACCCATAACCAAAATCATATAACATATTATATTATTACATTGCATTTAGCTGACGCTTTTATCCAAAGCGACTTACAATAAGTACATTCGACCAGGAAGACACAACCTTGAAAGAAAACAGAATCATATAAGTACATCAGGTTTCATAGAGCCAAACATTTCAAGTGTTACTCAACTGGCTTTAGATAAGCCAGTCCTTTATTAGTATATAAGTGCTTTGTTAATAGTTCTATCGCTCGAAGTGGAGTCGAAAGAGATGAGTTTTCAGTCTGCGCCGGAAGGTGTGTAAGCTATCTGCTGTCCTGATGTCAATGGGGAGCTCATTCCACCATTTTGGGAGCCAGGATAGCAAACCCACGTGTTTTTGCTGATGGGAACTTGGGTCCCCCTCGCAGCGAGGGTTCAGCGAGTCGTTTGGCTGATGCAGAGCGGAGTGCACGCGCTGGGGTGTACGGTTTAACCATGTCCTGGATGTACGAAGGGCCAGATCCATTCGCAGCATGGTAAGCAAGTACCAGTGTCTTGAAGTGGATTCTAGCAGTTACCGGAAGCCAGTGAAGGGAGCGGAGGAGCGGAGTGGTGTGGGAGAATTTAG